AGGGCAAACAAAAGGAATTCCACATTTCACAAAGTACAAATCAATGGTCCTAATGCATCGTGGGGGCAAGATTCTAGCATAGCATTAGAAAAGAATGACTTGTGGACTCCAGGAAGAAATGGGGCTCAGGAAGGCTCTTCATAGGTTATGTAAAAACACATCAAAAGGAATAAATTTTCTTCTTCATAGGCTCACGTGACCAGTAGGCCAGGGAGATGCATAGCAACCCAGGAGGCATCAGAAACCAGGAGAGAATAAACACAAGGGGATTTTGTCCTGGAGGAAAGAGCTCAGGTCAACTTATGAGAAGGACCACTATACTGAAGAGGGATCAGACATCCTCTCTGGGCCTCTAGAAGGCAAAAACAAAGGTCAATGGGTAGGAGTCACAAGGACCCGGACAAGGTTTAGTAGCAGGAAGCACTGTCTAATTTTACACATTGTCCCATTGTCGAATGGGCTGACTGCGTAAAGGCGGAGGGGCTGACTGTCAATGCAAGCATGCAAACCAAAGCTGGTTCACCACTTTTTGGGAAATGTTCCGGGAGGAGTTTGTTCCTGCACTTGATTCTGTGGTTGATTCTACAGTCCCACCAGTTTTGAGATTGTACAAATTGTTGTACAGCATTGATGCGACTCCAAAGGGACAGGGTGAAATCCCAAGGTTGTAATGATAGAGTTAACTTAGTGGAAGGAATTGGAAATGAGAGAGAAAAGAAACGTGGATCCCTCAGTGAAGATAAGAGTCACACAGTCATGTAGTATCATTAGTTGGACTGTGTCCGTGCCACACCTCGCCCCCCCTGCCCCCCTCCCCCCAACTATATGTCAACTTGTTAGGGCCTTGGTTCTCAGTGGTTTGTCAGTTATGTAGTGATATAAGCAGCCTATGATGGGATCAGTCCCGATCTGATATAAGGGGGTTGTTGTTGTTAGGTGCCATTGAGTCGATTCTGACCCACAGTGATCCTGTATAGGGTTTCCAAGGAGCAGCTGGTGAGCTTGAACCGTCAACTTTGCAGTTCAAACAGCTTTGCAGTCTGGTACATTAACCCACAGTGCCACACCAGGACTCTGATGTAAGGGGGTTGGTTATGTGCCGTGGAGTCGGTTCTGACTCATAGCGACCCTATACAGGGTTTCCAAGGCTGTAAATCTTTACGGGAGCAGAAAGCCTCATCTTTCTCCCATGGAACAGCTGGTAGTTTCAAACTGCTGACCTTGAGGCTCACAGCCTGATTCGTAACCACTATGCTACCAGAGCTCCTTGTAAGGGGGTTAGAGTGGGGTTAGTCAGCCCTCCCACCTGCCTACTGTTCATTTTGTCCTTGCCTCTCTTCCGTGCCTCTATGCCCCCTTTCTTGCTTTTCAGTTTAAATGACTTCCCCACCCCCTGGCCTGTGCCTCAGACCTGCTTCCAAGGACGAGCTTTACCCCACTAGCCACCAACCCTGTGCTTGATAAAAGGATCCAAATGGTGTCCAACTCTGATCTGATGTAAGGGGAATTTCCCTGGGGTGTGACCTGCATCACTTTTTATCTTGCAAAAGATCAGCAAGAGAGGGACTTCAGTACTATTAAGAAATAAGACCGGGTTCCTTGGATGCTGGATCCCTGTGTTGGGAACATCCTAGACCCAGGGGAAGATGTAGGGGTGAGACTGATGCCAAGACATATGGGGAGGCTGGGTCCAGATGTTGAAAGAAAATAAAGACCTTCCCTAGAGCAAAAAGGGAGAGAAAGCCTAACTAGCCTAGTGCTGGTGACTCCTACACTGTGAGAGATTATATTTGTATTTGTAAAGTCATTGTCTGGTGGTATCTCTGTTAATATCAACATTCAGGAACTAAGACAGAGGAAGAATCCACTATCTTCTTAGTACTAAGGATCAGGGTCATCACCCAAATGGTGTAGAGCTGCCCAAGGAAACTGTGCATTAAAAGAGGCTGCAAATCCTTGTCCTTCCTAGATCTCTTAGGATATCATTAAGAACACACATTTCAGTACAGAGTTTCAGTGATGTTCAGGAAAGAAGAGGGTTGTGAACCATTTGGATTCCTTGCTCAAGCAGGTTCCGGTTGGGGTGGGTGGTTGGCTGAGGCTCTCACCCTTGGATGCAGGTCTAAGGCACAGGCCAGGAAAAATAAAAATCATTAAAAGGAGAAAGCAAGAATAGAGGAGGAGACATGGGAGAGAGGCAAGGAAGAAATGAACAGTCACCAAGTGTAGGGGTGGGTGGGTGAGGGGTGTTGTTGGCGGAGGTCTGGGGCACCTCATTTAGCTGGTCCAAGGAGAGGAGTCAGAATCACGAGACTGACCCGGTACCACCAGTTTCCTTTGTGGCTGTCTCTTCACCTGTCTGCCTCCGTGCTGCTATGAATGGGCTTTACAGAGCTCTGGACTTCAGAGAAAATAAGTTCAGAAATTGAAGGTGTTATCTACGCTCCTGCGTACTGTTTGCGTACAGGTTTCCGCGTTTTTACGGTTGGGGGAGAGAGGATCGATCAGAGAAGGGGAGAAGGAAGGGGCGAAGCCACCGTGATCACAGTCACTTGACTCCGCATCGTCATCTGGGCCCTGGGCGCAGAAACCTAGGAGAGGGCACGTGCCCGCAGCTGCTGGACCAGCGGGACCAGGCCCCCAGCAGCCTTCTCTGGCTCCGCGATCCCTACAGCAAATCACTGGGCCAGATTCGGGAAGAAAAGAGAGAGGCACGCCCCTCCCCCACTAGGTGGCACTGAAACGCCTCGTTCGCGCTTTTCCAAAGGCAGGAAGGAGACGAAAGACAAAAAGAATATGGTGGAGATGTGCGCCTTTGGGGTCACAAGTCCCGTTCTGTAAAGCAGGGTGCCAGCACTCTCTGTCCCCCCTCTCCACCGCAACGCAGGTTTTAGGGTGATAGCGAAAGTCAGGTGTGGGCAGCTGGGGGACAAGCCAGGGTTTGAACCTGGGAGGGAGGGGCCCAATCTTGGCAGCGCCGTCTCACGTGAGCGAAGGTGGAGTAGCGGGGGTTGGGATGAAGCGGGGCTCGCTTGGGACCCGCTTAATGTCTGGAGCCCCGCACCCCCTCCCCAAGCCCCCTAAGCCTAGATCAAGCCGTCACACTCAGATAACAACAAACCCCGTACCCAGGTTCCGTGTCTCCTCACACCGCGCGACTCGAGCGTTTTTTACGTCTCAATGATCTGTCCCCCAACTTCCTAATATCCTCTTCTTCCGTCTTGACCCGCTCAGCCTGGTACTTTTCCTGGGGTGGGGGGCGGGGCGGCTCGTGGATGGGGTGCAGGCCTGGAGGCTGGGTGACCGCGATAGCCCAGCGGATGCGCTTGGCCCAGGCTGGAAGCATTTGTCGCCGGCACAGTGACGCCTGTGGCTTCCCGGGGAAAACAAAGATCAGCGACATCCACCCAGGACACCCGCGGCTGAGCAGGGACGCAGCGGCCGCGTACCCCTCTGAGCGCCGGCTCCGCATCCAGCAGGGCGTGCTCAAAAGAGCGAGGGTCAATTCAGGGATTTTCCCACTGCTGAAAACAGAAAGGCAGACGAGGCAGGGGGCAGCCTGCATTTATAAGGAGGCCAGGAAACATGCTACATGGCACACATATGTATATGTGCATGAATATGGATGTGGTGGACATATACCTAGCCAGACACCATTGACTTGCCTGCTCCAAGTATGCAGTTGAGACATGGCGTGCTCGAGAAATGGTGTAGTTTGTCTTTAAGGAGCCCAGAAAAATAAGAGATGAGGCTCACGTTGCACGGATGACATCACTAGCTTCGGGCTGCGCGCTCCGTGGTCGCGGCTGTGGGTTTTAGCCAAGGCTGCAGCGCCCGGCGCCCGGCGAGCGCCCGCCTGAGCGCGCGGCGTTGGTTTCCTGGCTCCGCCCCAGCCGCCGAGCCCCTAGCTCGCGGGTGTCCTGTTCCCTAGCAGTCGCGGGCCCCGGCCAGCCCGCGGGGCCGAAGCAGGAGGCCGACGGGCAGTCGCGCCCTGGGCCGCCCCCCTGCTCTCGGCGCGCCCCGCACCGGACCCGGATCAGGAACAGGGTCGAGCATCGCAACGCAGCGGGTGCAGCGGCTCCTCGGCGGCGGGCGGAGGCGACAATGGTGCTGCCCGAGAGCGGCTGACCCGCTGGGCGGCGCCGACTGTGCAGTGGCCAGGCGGCCTTGTGCAGGGCCAGCCCTCAGCCTTTCTCTGCGCCTGGCAGCGCATTCCCGGGCGGACGGTAGCCGACGGAGTGAGGCGGAGGCGGCGGCAGCGGCGGCGGCCGGGGACACTTCGGGACGAAGCCAGCGTAGGGGACAGCGGCATGACGCCCCGGGGGCCGGCGGTCCGGCCGGCTGAGCGCCGCGCCCGCGCGACCTGCCCTCGCTGGTGAAGGCACCTGCTCTTAGCACCCTCCGTGCTCCCGGAGTCTGTCGCTGCATAGCCCGGCCGAGGCGCTCCCGCAGACGCTGCCTGGTGACCGCGCCGTGGGCCCGAGGGGCCGCCTGCATGGCGAGGCCGGCGGCCAGGGGCCCGGGAGCTCGCGGGAGAAGGTCGGCGGGGACCGCGCGCCCGCGGGCAGCCCGTGTGTGAGCGCCGTGCGCGGGGCCGACTGATTGTGGACTGTGGTGACAGCGGACGCAGATTCGTCAGAGACCCAGCAGGGAGAGGCCACAGCTCGTAGGCACAGCCGGCTCCAGGCGGGACGCGGGCAGAGCAACCGCCCGGTGCCCGGAGGTCGCTCTCGCGGCCCCGCAGCGGGGTCCGCACTCTCAGTCGTCAGGGACTTCGTGAGACCGCACCACCTTCCACGAAGCCGGCTCAGCGGGCCCCGTCGCGGCTGTGCCGAGGAGCTCGGGACGCGGGCGCTGAGCGGCTCCGCTCGAGGGTATCGGGGAGGCGGAGCCGGAGGATGCCCGGGGGCGCGCGGGGGCCGCGGCGCTGCGGGCCTGTGTAGGGTGCCGAGGAAGGCGAGGCCGCGTGGGACATGCCCCTGGCGTAGCCCGGCCGAGGCATGGCTGCCGGTAGGCTGCTGCTCTACACCGGCCTCTTGCTGGCGCTCTGCGCCCTCGGCATGCTGGCTGTGGCCATCTGCTCCGACCACTGGTACGAGACGGACGCGCGCAAGCACCGCGACCGCTGCAAGGCCTTCACCACGCGCCGCGTGGACCCGGGCTTCATCTACAACAACAACAACAACCTGCCGCTGCGAGCCAGCCGCGCGCGCCTAGACCGCTGGGAGGGCAAGCTACTGCGCGCCCGCAACCGCCGCCAGCTCTTCGCCATGAGTCCCGCGGACGAGTGCAGCCGCCAATACAACTCCACCAACATGGGCCTCTGGAGGAAGTGCCACCGCCAGGGTTTCGATCCCGACATCGCAGCGCTCATCCGCAAAGGTAAGCGCCGGCCGAGCCTCTGCCCTCTGGCATACCAGAGCCCTGGGCCTCCGGGGCTCCTGGGGTCTGGTTGAGCCTCTGCCCAGGGCCCTGCTGAGCCTTGGGGTGGCCGGAGCTTGCCTCCCGGTCCCTTGCCTTGCAGGGCAGCTTAGGCTGACCTCTCGCCCTCGGAGCTCTGGTCTGGGATGCCCAAGGAATCACTGAGTCCAGGGGTCTTATCCAGCAAAACACTTCATCAGCTTGAAGAAGGAAGGGGATCTTAGAATATAGCATGTTGTTAACAGAGGAGGTAGCGCTGTAAGAGAGATGTGTTTGGGTAAACTATCTTCTAACTACTTCATCAAAAAGAATAGGAGCCATCGCACAAGGCAGACCTCTTATTCATGGTCTGTGCACCCGTGTAGCCGGCACTGTGCAGGCGCCTGACGTTATAAACAGCCATGCATCACAGCCCTTGCTCAAAGCTTGCGTGCAGATAGCACCGAATCACAGTTAGTGGTTGACAAAATTGATGGACAGCAGGGTAAAATAAACACACAAAGTCTGGATATCACAAGATGGGTGCTTCAGAAGAAAAAAAATTACTATTTTCAGATGATTTCTATAGAAAATATCCAAATACCTAAACAGAAAGCAAGCTGCCTTTCTTAATAACATTTTACTTGATGCTTTTGTCTGGTCACAGATCTGTCCTTATCTGATGCAGTCTGTCAGTCTGATCTGATTTATAATCTAGGCACTGGCATGTTGTTCTCTAGAAATGTTCTTTGGATGTGTGTTAACATTGCTCTTTTGTGGTAGCTGCATTCTGGGAAGATAAGGTGCAAATTTTACCAGTTTTGTTACCTCCCTGTCCTCTCCTTGCTTCTCTTCAAGTATTAAATGGTGACGCCAAGGTGAAAACAAGGCTGTCTGCAATATGCTTAGAGGCCTAGGGGCAAAAAAAGATGGTAATATTCAGATACCTAGTTCTTCTGATACTTTACTATTATAATTCTGCGGGATTTGCTGCTGCTTTCCAAAAATAACAGTTGTGAAAACTGGTATCCTGCTCTGATTTCTAATAATGATGAGACAGAACGAAAAAAAAGGCCAAGTTGAAAAAAAAAAAAAAAAGGTGAATCTGAGCGATGCATGTGGCCTGAGGGCAGGGTGAGGTGGGTTGGGTTGGGGAACAGACAGTTCAGATGTAGGTGAGAAAAATCCATCTTTGTGTTTGCTTTGTAGAATGACTCGGGATTTTAGCACATTGAGTGATGGGGGTGTTGACATTCTATAAATCACATCCACTGGGATGAAACCCTACAACTTTGTAAAGGTGTTCTACAGGATTCTGGAGGGTTCTGGGACAGAGCAACACGGGCTTGGATTTTGAAAGACAAAAGCAAGAGTAGCATTTGACAGTGCTTGACTCTGCCAGCATTTTCAGGTTTTCGGACTCACACAGTGCTGGCTTAGCCTTCGTTTTCTGCTTTCTTTCTGAAATAGAAATATTAGGAAGTGAACCTCACTGCGAGGGAGAATTGGTGTGTGAGTAATGATCGGCCAACACTGATAGGGTTTGCTGAAGGACATTCTTGAATTGTGTTCCTCACACGTCTTCTAGAATGAGACAGGTGCGTCTGTGTTTTTTTGGATATGTTGGTTCATGTCTCTCTTAATTTAGTGATAGGGGCTTGGAGCTCTGGCTTTTGGGGGCTCTGCTCCGGGCGTTGGTGCCATGTTGCTCTGCTTGGCAATGTGATTGGCAAGGAAAGGTTGGCTTGGTCTGTGCCAGAGGGATTGGTTGCCATAGTGACATGCTCTTCCGGTGGTGCTGGGAACGCAGTGACAGGGAAGAGGATAGGGGAAGAATGTGCAATATTTTGACTTTGTATCAACAGATTTTTAATTGCAGCCACAGAAAATGGCCAGGGCCAGCAGGGGAGTTGAATATGCAGCTACCCAGTGTTGGCAGGACATTGTATTTCACTCCAACTAAATGACAAGATTGTTCTCCATCGCCCCCAATACAGCAATCACTGTCAGCTGCCAGCACCCGGTTACCACGGCCACTTCTGTCCACTTGACATCCTTGTTAGGGATTATTGAGACAGATGGCATGCCAGCCTTACAAATCTCAAGGGACTTAAGGTCACTGGTTTCATTTTTTAACCTCAGAACATGATCTCTGGCAAACACATCTGCCTTTGCTATAAGCAGCAATAGACGTGGTTTGTTTGGAAATCAGTACTTTTCAAACTAGCAGCATTTACACATGCGTAGAGAACTGAATCACTCACTGTTCTTCCTAGGTGAGCAGATTTTCACTAAAAAAAAAAAAGAAAAAGAGATGGATATCTCTATATTCACATGAGCGCATTTTAGAGAAAGATATTTATCTACCATTTGTTACTAGCTGGGGTCCTTGGATGGCACTGGACTGTTAACCTCAAGGTCGGTGGTTCAAACCCACCAGATGCTCGTCAGACACCCTATGCAGGGTTGCTATTAAGTCAGAACGGACTCAACAGTGTTTCACAACAACAACAATCACTAGCAGCCTCAAAAGAGATCTTGGTCTTTGTCCTTCTGGAAGCATCTCTTAAGATTTAAATTCTTGGGCATGTGTTGTGTTGGGCCAGGGAAATAGGGAAAGCAAAGGGAAGACTGCTGAAAATCTGTCAAGATTTTGGGAAAATGAAAGGTTTAGGAGTCAGTCCTGGTGTGGCGCTATGGGTTAATGCACTGGACAGCAAAGTTGATTTGAACCGCAAGATCAGTGGTTCAAGCTCACCAGTTGCTCCTCGGAAACCCTATACAGGGTCGCTATGGGTTGAAACTGACTCGACGGCACACAACAGTAACAATAACAAAAAAGCTTAGTTGTCATATAGCCCCAGAGAACTCAATCAGTTGTTAAATCAATGTTCATGACATTAGAAAGTGCTGTTGATGTGTTTGAAAACCAAGCCAACCCTCCTAATTAATAAGAAAGCAAAAGTCAAGTCTATATCTGACTCGAAGATAAAGTCTTTGGATCCGTGCTCATTCTGAAAACCCTTTTCTTCAGTGTTCTGGTTATGGTGGATTTATTTGTTTGCCATAATGAACTGTAAGTTCCTGGAGGGCAGGGGAAAACTGTTATTTGTTAATTACTCTTCCCAGAAGTCTGGGAAATATCTCATACAAATGAGGGTCACCGAAATGTATCCATCAAGAGTGTATTCTGATCGTAGAAAGGTAGATGTAGGAATCCAGACAAGAGATGATTGAGAAAACTGAAGATAAAAAATGGAACTGGTGTGGCTGTATCAGGCCCTGATGGTATTGCAACAGATCACATCATGAAGCCAAAGGAAGATTTCTTGAGCAAAATCTTTGCTGAAGAATAAAGGAGGCACATGACACTAACCCATTGGAGCTGAGTCAATTCTGACTTATAGTGTTCCTATAAGAGGGAGTCCTGGTGTGGCGCTGTGGGCTAATGCGTCAGACTACAAAATTGTTTGAACTGCAAGGTCGGTGGTTCAGGCTCACCAGCTGCTCCTTGGAAACCCTATACAGGGTTGCTATAGGTCAGAATGGACTTGATGGCACTTCACAACAACAACAGCAACCTCGCAGTTCAAACTGACCTTGTAGTGCAGTGCTTATCCTACAATACCACACCATGTTTGTGGGTTCTAATTACCAACGTTTCAAGGCATGTATCACCCATGGCCATTAATTTTCATGTTAAGTAAGAGTTTAATGATTTGCTTCTTGAAGGTTGGATTGAGTAGAGGGTGCACCAAGGGCAAATGGCCCCTGAATGCTCATTTCAGTGTTCGTAAAAGAATCCGGTCAGTTAGGTCATCTTATTGTCTTGTCTTTAAACCTCATCGGTAATGCCTATAGTCACTACTAGCTCTGGGGACAGGGCAGTGACATGATCTGTTTCTTCCAGACTCTTAGAAGGAGAAGCCATTGCTAGGATTTTGTTTCAAGAAGATCTGAGGGAACTTTCATAGTTTTTGGTTTGTACTGAAACATTATGTGGAGATTGCTTGAAATCAGTATCCCTTTGACTGGGACTCTGATAACTTTTCTGGTTATTTGAAAATCAGCCTGGTCATAGAATTTGACTTAGTTTCAACATCACAGAGTGTGCTTATCCTAAGAGTGATTTTCATAAAACACTGATGATATTTAAACACCCATCCTGCAACCAGCAAATATCTCCTGCCCATGTTTGGTGTGTTGAGGTCAGCGATAGGAGGGAGGGACCTGACCAATGAGAGCCAACCCTCACAATTGTCAGGGTGTGTGAGCATCACAGGCATGCAGACAACTCAATACCAACTGTTGGAAGAGGAGGGGAGAGGGATCCAATCAGAGAAGAGAGGAAGGAGAAGGAGCTATGAGGGGAGTGGGAAGGGATTTGGGAAATTGACTTGAGGAAATTGAACTGGGACAAGATTGCTGTTTGGAGGTGGACAGCTGGGTGGTGAGGGCATTGGAATAGGAGATGACAGTTCCCCTGTGGATGCTGATAGAAGTGGGGGCAGAAGAGGAGCTAGAAAGCAGGTGTGGACCAGGGCACACATCTTGTGTACTCAAATCCCCAGGACACACACTGTCTACTACATGTGGCTGTTGAAATAAAAATGTAAGCAAAATTTAGTAAGATTCAAAACCCAGTTCCTTGGTTTCACTGGCCACAGTACACGTGTTCATGAGTCATGTATGGTGAGTGCAGACTATAGAATATTCTCTTCATCATGGAAAGTTCTATTGGATGGCAAAGAACACATGATCTTTAAACAAGTCAACCAACCAGCCAGCCAGTCAACTAGCCAGCCAGCCTCCAACCAACCAACCAACCAGCCAAACACATACTTTGTTTCAGATGAAGATAATCAAACATGGTCATCTGGGCTTAAATGTAACTCTTTTATTTTACACTTAAAAATTTGACTACTTGAATGTCTTGGGCAGAATGTTTTATTGTTGTTAAGTGCTGTGGACTTGGTTCCGAC